CTTTGCCGTTATGTGTAATAGACTTGACTTTGGCTCCAATATGTGGCATATAATAAATATCATTATTATTGATGAAAACCTTAAATAAATGATTAAATTCTAAATTATATGAAGAGATCAATAATGAGGGCTAACGTACCAGTGCATTTCCAGTGGGTCCCCATTCAGCCCATTGTATTGATATTTTAGTTTGCTCCTCAATAAGTTGTTGCAAATGTATAACATTTCTGTGAATTATTTAATTGAGACAATTTTTCTTTGATTTACAATTTTCTAACAGTTAATTACTGTATTTATAAAATAATTCAAAATTGTTTTAATTATAAAATTTTTTATACTATATTATATAAGTTATATAATTATACATATTTAGTAAATATTATAAATATAATTATACTATTTTATATTAATTAGAATATAAGTTATTTCAATGAATACATTAACATTAATAAGTATTAATATTAAACTATAATAGGATTCTATAGTCTTTGAAAGACTGACCCGTTTTTGATGTCATAAATGATGAAATTTGCCGTAAAAACAAAGTCAAATGACTAAAAATAGGAAAAGTTTTTGATTTATTAATAAATATAGTCTATTGACATATCAAATGACTTATCGTTCAATACCTTTCTATTGTCGGAAATTAATAAAACAAAACTTCTATCAGAAGAGAGCGAATACCTCTGAGTATCAAATTGTCTCTGAAATGAACCAAATATACGATATTTGTTATTATTTTTATATAAAACATATTTTTATTCTTATAATATTAGTCAAAGTATTCACTTTTGACTTCAGGTACACTTTTAATCAATAAACCATTAATATATAAAAGTTATGTATATCTGTATAAATTGTGTTAGTGATACATATTTAAGCAAATATAATGAAATGCAAATCATTGGGTAATATTGTGCTCACAGTTATATAGCTGTGGACGAGAATCGATGAAATGTTATTACATTTGGCGTCAAATACCACAAGAGATCCGTTTTGGTGTTTATATGTGAATTCATGTCCTAAATGTTTAAATACGATATTATTATAAATCATATCATTTTAGTGACAACTCTTGAAACAGTAACAAGTTTAAGAAATTGTAAATATTCCCAATTTGTGTGATAATACATGAATGTATATATGATTTGAGTTATTATTATCTATTCTGGAAAGTCGTTTTATAAATGCTTTATTAATATTAATAGTTTTGTATATTTAAGCGATATTTTAGTTTTGAAAAGTCCTCCACAAGAATAACATCTTATGAATGACTAGTCTATGAAAATGTAATTTGAAATTTGAAATATTTTTGTCGTTTCAGTGCAATCTTAGAAATTTGCTTTTCCTATGAATAAGTGGTATTTTAGTTCATACTATCCATTAATAACTCCTCTAGTGATGGCAAGTGATGACACTTACCGTAAATCAAACTATTATTTTAATACCGAAAATTAACTTTCACTTAATATGTGGTGTGACGACAGAAAAACTTTTCAATTATAAATATTTTATTTAAATTCAAAGTAAATGTAATTTTATGCAAAGTCCGTGTTTTATGTTTTTTCATCTAATTTTATAATATTTTGTGTGAGTTTTAAGATTTAAATCCATAAAATAAATTCCTTACATTAATTGAATTTGTATGTAAAGCATTCGTAACATGATTTTGTACTATTGAATATAAAACAGTGTTTACCTGATATCCAGGTGCCGTTAAATAATTTTGGTACAAATTCGTGATTTAAAATCTCATTGATTTCATAGCTTTCATTGTGAAATTCATCAGTTTTATGGGCTATATAGGGATAAAATTGTACAAATTAGATAGTATGTGATATTTGATAATTAATAGAAATAGTTATGCAATGTATTGAAAATATGCAATTATACACGGAGTCATTAATATAATGGCCAGTAATATGAGTGAACATATGCTGGCGATCACCAGCAGTGCTATGAGTGCTCCCTTCAGATGCTTTTCCTCGGCTTCCGGTTCGACAAATTCCTGCGAAAAATAATTATTCAGTTTTTCGCAGCGAATTAATTTCTAATTTAATTAATTTGTCACTATTTATACGAAATATCGCATATATCTATAATATATTTTAGAATTTAATTAATAGTTTAAAAATAATCTACAATTTATAAATATTTCGATCAAATTTTCGTGCGCTTTGGGTCACAGTTTGGCTATACTTTTGAATTTTGTAAATTAATTTGTCTGACAGGCTATGAGTTATTTCACAACATAGTTGCCAATGATTACATTTTTCACTTCCCACTGTCGCTGTAACACAACGTGTACTCTATATTATGGATTAGTTGTGAAATCTTCTTTGAGATTATTTTCTTTTAAAGATTTTGAGTGCAAATATTTTTTATCTTAAAAATGGATTTTGTATTATTTGCCGAAAGCTATTTTTGTCAGAAAACAAACGAAACAATAAATATGTTTTGAGCGATAAGTATTGGCACGTTTGCTACCAATTTATAAACTCGAAAAATAGTTTCAAATCTTAATATTATTAGCCTTTGCTATTATTGGAGATAAATCTATATAGAAGTTATTATTTGCTGAATTCAGTCAACATGTTATGTCATATTCTGCTGAAACTCATATTGTATTAGTTTAGTAGTAATTACTGTCTGTTTTCTGAGCTCCGACATCTGCTTAATGTATGAATTGTATGAATAAACTCTTTATTACTATACTTATGGCACGTAATGTTGATTTCGTTGTGAATGGTTTGGGAATCAAATTCTTAAATAAATAGTTATTTATAATATAAGTGTAAAACAATCAAAACATTTTTATACACAAGATTTTGTTTAACTTAAACATTTATATTTTTATATGTGATTTAAATATGGTGATTTAAAGCTATATAAATTGTGAATAAATATTATGAATAAATGAATAATTAGCAAAACATATGAATTAATTGCCAAAACTTTGGTTTTAATAATAAAATTAGTTGAAAGCCAAAACTTCTATAATATATTTTCTGTGAGATTGACTTAATATATAATTATGGGTCAAACGGGAAAGACATTGTTTTTATTTATGGCACTTATTTCCTACAATTGAATAAACTTGCAATCAATTTAATACTCACTTCATCATCAAAATCGAGATCCTTATCCATTGTACAAACATATATTTAAAATCATTAGAATATTCTGGGTTTAGAATGTTTTCAATTGACTTAACATTTAGTAAAATATAATCAAATTTATGGAAAACAGTTAATTAAGAGTAGAATTCAAAAATCAGTAATATTTCCACCCATTAATGCAATTAAAATCAAGAAATGACTGCATTTGACATACATTGCAGTTATGTTTATAATGTATTGTAAATATAGGTATAACACTGAATATGAAGTGCTGTGAACTCCGATGTCTATTGAAATACTGGAAACACTATAAACACAAGAATTAGTGAAAACAAAGTTTAATTCCCAAACATTTGTTTGATGTGTTTTGCTTTGAGATCCCATAGCAATGGAACAAAATCTATATTTAGTAGATATAGTCGTGTTGTATATTCTGTATTAATATTCCGTTCGCTATAAACATTATAATATACATGGCTTTCATTGTGTCTACAGTAATATAACCAATAAGTTTCGCAATCGATTCACGTTTTTAACAAAATACCTCAATATTCATCATTTCCTAACCATCAATAAAGATATTTTCCGTCCATTTATTACATTATTTACCAAATATTCAGTTTATTATTTTTAGTAAGCTTTTGTTTGCAAATTTTGAAACTATTCCTAAATTATTACAATATAAATAAAAATGTTGTGTCCAATTTTAATATAAATTGTATAATGTAAATTTTATTTGAATGCAAACCCTGTCAAATAATGATTTTAATTAAATCTAATTAATTACGAAGAATTTATGGCGACATATCAGCCTGAAAATATCATTGAAATAATTAATACATTAATCATAATAACAATAACAATGAAATATTAGAAAAGGGAAACATTTTATAATAATTAACACATTGACTAAACCATAGGCTGAGAGCAATGAGAATGTAGTGAATGGTCCAATAAATCATGTTAAATGCAATTATAGAAATGCAAAAATATTTGAAACATTGATAATAAGGATTAATTGACAGATTCTGTGTATTCTGTTTAATAGAAAGAAATAAAAACAAAAGAATATTCTTTTTGTCACATTTGCTATCATTGTTTGCCAAATGATATACAGAGAGGAAAACTGCTATTTTCTTTGAGTTGTATTTGTTTGAAGTGAGAGTTGAGTCAATCCGAGGCTTTCAATAGCGAAGACAATTGCAATCTCTTGCGAATCACTCGTACTGTCTGTCAAACTATTGCTTTGTTTTTCACTGCATTAGTGGCGAGTATTGCGCAGAAGTGCTCTTTCAGGCACTCAATTAGTTTCCCTTTGAATGTCAAACCGTTTATTAAAAGTCATAATTATCTGAAAAAAACATTTAATATATATTACAATAAAAATTACAATTAATACAAAACTTTTGGGAATAGTTTAGTCAAATACATATTTTTAAAATTATTATTATATAATTAAGTACTTCTATTAATGATAAAAATACATTTGTATTAACTATAATATAGTGTGAATGGATATTAATTCTGCAATTTTTATTATACTGTAGTACTGTATATAAATTGTATGATAACTTATAATGTATAATATATAATCTAACTATTATACAATATAAATAAGTGCTTTAATATAATTTCAGATATTGTGTAAATCATGAAGAATTTGGCATTTATTTCGCTATTATTATTGCAAACACTTAGAAGTAATTTAGCAGAAAATGACAAAAACGGAGAGAATAGCTGTCATTCAATATCGCGACAAAACAGCGATAAATATGTAGAGAATATAAATGGAAATGACATCAAACCAGAGACAGAGACAGAGTTTTGCACAAAACAAAGTTGTTTAGAAAATATGGTTCACATAAAAGGCGGCACTTATACTATGGGTACGGATGAGCCGGTATTCGTGGCCGATGGTGAGGGTCCGGCCAGGGATGTAACGATTGACGACTTTTATATGCATAGGACTGAAGTAAGCAATTCTCAGTTCCGAGAGTTTGTCGACAAAACCCATTACGTGACCGAAGCCGAGAAGTTTGCCAACAGTTTTGTGTTTGAAATGATGCTAAGCGATGAGGTCAAGCAAAACATTACACAATCTGTGGCACAGGCACCCTGGTGGTATGTACATCATCTCAGCAATTTGGCTCTTTATATCTGTATTTCCACTATATTTATAGCGATTAGTTTTTGTCTCGAGAATTGACTACAGAATGTAATATATTATAGTATATAAAAGCTATGATAGCATTGAATCTAAGAAAACCAGATTTTGCTTTGTATTACTGTTTCTGTAGATCTCAAACACAAGACATTAATTAATTATTATTATTAGAAATCATTTATTATTTTTCTTGTTATTAATAATTGTTTTTGTGTTAAATCATGTCTTTTTTAATAATTGCAATCTATGGGGAAAAGGCTACCGGTGCCCAATGCTAGTTGGAGAGCACCCGAGGGTATTGACTCGAATATTGATGACCGATGGGATCACCCGGTGGTCCACATCTCGTGGAACGACGCCAATAGTTACTGCAAATGGAAAGGCCTTCGACTGCCGTCTGAGGCCGAGTGGGAGTACGCGTGTCGGGCGGGCCTTAAGAATAGGCTGTTCCCGTGGGGCAACAAATTGAACCCTCACGACACACATTACGCTAACCTATGGACGGGAGAGTTTCCTAATCATAATTCAGGCATAAATTGATTTTTAGTTATTTGTTTATAATGTTTGAGATAATGTCAACACTTATAGCTGAGGACGGATATCAATGGACAGCACCTGTCGATTCATTTCCTGAAAATATGTTTGGCCTCAAAAATATGATCGGAAATGTTTGGGGTATATATTGCTTGTATATACTTGTAATTTATTAGAGATTTATATACAGTTACATTTGATTTGGTGTCCGACAGAGTGGACGGCCGATTGGTGGACAGTTAGACACAGCAATGAGCCATCGGTTAACCCGAAAGGGCCCGAATCGGGTGCGGATCGGGTGAAAAAGGGCGGTTCCTTTATGTGTCACAAGAGTTATTGTTATAGGTATAGGTGCGCGGCCAGGAGCCAGAACACACCGGTATGTTATTTCTATTTATAGTAATTAATTACATGTCTAGCACCAGGGTTTCCATTCGAGTTAATGGCAATAGTATTTAGTGTCAATACAGATGTCAGGCCAACAGTCTGATCCCTTATTTGTGTCATGCGATGCATAACTGATTGTTAACACAGTTTTTACCCATACCTACCTTTTCTCTTTCATACCGATCCCTTGAGTAACTTAATACAGATAATTGACTTTCGCTTGAATTACTAGAATATTCTCTACAATTAGTAACTTTTTATTAATCAAATAAATAGCGAAAAAAAACTTTTGTTTTAATGCGATTAGAAAATAAGACTGCTTTATAAATAAGATTTACACTAAAACAAGAAATATACTAAACTTAAAAAATAAGTCAAATAAAAGTCTTGAAAATAAGTTCATATTATATGTGCACAAAAGAAATAATATATTTTTATTGCATTTGAATTCATATTATGTGTAAGTCTTTGTTCTAAGATTTATTTGAGATCATTATTTGAACAATAATGTGATTACTTTGCATCCATAATATGCACTCATTTAGTGCTTTCATTCAAAACTTTGTGTTTTGGCCAAAACCCAAAACTTTTTTGTTGTTAAAAATTATTCTCATATTTTAAAGACTTTTTTCAATTTACTGTTTTGTGTGTAAGAAATACTTGGAAAATATTACCACTAATTTGTTAAGAAAAAAAATAATTTCATACCCAATCAAATTTTACTGAATCAATGTATTGAAGTTTAAAAAACTGGTTATACAGTACAGTACAGTACAGTACAGTACAGTACAGTATAATATATTATTATTTATTATATAAAAATGAAAATCATTTTATAAATTAATGGATAAATAAATAAATATAAATGTATTTAAACATGTTTTTATACTTTTAGTACTTTTATTAATTTCTATTTAAAAATTATTTGAATATAGGATTCATCCGCCAGTAATCTCGGATTTAGATGTGCTGCCGATTATACAAAAGATTAATAGAAATTTAATAAATTTATTTTTATATCAATTGAATTTAATAGCTGTGATAAACACGAATTAAATGAAGTATCTATGTATAAAATTCTGTTTTCACACAAACTATTTGAAATATAATTGTCAGCAATGATCATAGTTGCCAACGAATTTAATGTTGTTTTTAATTTATATTTATTTCAAAATATATTTTATTCAATTAATATTAAATTCATCATTCAGAGCTATTCATTTGTTGCTCAAATCAATGTTTATTTAAATAATTAATGCATAATTTGATTATATATTAAATAAAACAATATGTTTCACAAATTATTATATTTTAATTTTATGAAATTATTTGTTTTAAAAATACAATGAATTATTGATTACAAAAACATAATGACTGCTTAAAATGATAATAGGTTCAAAATCTATAAATAACTGATTTGAAAAATTATGGAAAATTAATTTTCAAAGTATATGCAAAAGTATTTCAATGGTCTCTAAGAAATAATTAAATTACCATGTTAAAATGAAATATGTAGACAAACAATACATTACAGTTACTCCAGATACCTATTTATGGTTTAAAATATATTGACTGCTATTTTGTGTGTGGATGTGCTCTGTGGACAAATTCTTGACATTTTTGTTATTAAATATAATACTATAAGAATTACAAATTATATTATATTTACAATACAAATATGAAATGAAGACTTTTTATATGAAATCAAATGATTAAATTCACAATTTATTGCAAACAATCAATTAATATAATCATTTAATTAAATACTAATGAACTTGTGGACAACACATGAATATACTGTATATGAATTGAATAAAATAATAATTCCTTAAAATAAGTTATTACTTCAAATATTACTTAAATTCATGAAAATGTAACTAAATATGAATTGAAACTTTAATTTTATTCACAACAGTCGAGAGTTTAGTCTTTCATTAGTATTTTGTATATTATTGAAGGTATTTATTTTACATCTTATTATTTAATACTATATGTTTTTATGTAAAAATAATTTTAAATAACTTTCAGTTCCTTAAGAGGTATAAAAATTTGATTCTTTAAGAGGTTTATAGAAAAACTAATTCCTTATGATATTATTATTATGTACTGTATAGTAAGTATATTATGTTTCTTATATATATCCATAGACTCTATAGATATCTATACATACTGTATAATATAAATTATATATTTTAATAATAAATTGACATAACATTAGAGACACGTCTGAGAGTTAGACTTTGTTTTTGTTGAAAAGTTTTCGTAAGGCATAAGAGAGTGGATAATAATCGCAATGAGAGTAATGTTTCGTTTCATACATAACTCTATAGACATTTCGTGGTGTTATAGGCTTTGGCTCTGTTTGACGACTCGTCGCCTCCGAAGTCCGATGTCTTCATAGAAGGAATCGGTTTGAAAGCATTCGTCCCAAAAGGCCTCCATTGTATGGTAGAGATGCGGTTTGACTCCCGATAGCGAGTGGTTCTCATCCGGATATACCTGCGTCTGGAACATGACGTTCGCGTTCGTCAGCGCCTTCATCAACACCATTGACTGCTGCACGTGAACGTTGTCTACCGGTGCCATTCAAACAATTTATTTATCAAATAATCAGAAAACTTTTAGTCAAATATTGTTATTTGGATTCTTTTTGGGATCACTTATAGTTTACTTTTCATATGGATTTTCATATACATGTGAAATGTATGTCAAAATGTTGTATATATTAAAATGCTTTTAGAGCTAAGTTTAAAAATTTATGTGTTTTTCTTTTTTAATAAAAACCTTTAAGAATATGTTTTGGTTATAACTTATAGGACATGGATCATAAAGAGGTTTATAATGGTTGGTTGGGTGGGCATACATACCATCAGCAGATCCATGACATAACAAGAACTTTTTGCCCTTAAAATTGTGAGCTCTGTTGAGCACATCGGACCGCAAATAGCTCTCCATATTATCTTTAGGTAAACCCATATATCTCTCGGTGTACACGGAATCTGCGAAACACCAAAACTCCATTATATGGCAAATAGGAGTCGATTGTTATGTAAAGAAAATATATTATAATAATATGATTACCATAGAGAAGCCATGAGGTGACCGGTGCTACAGACACACCGCACGAGAAAACAGGATTATTGGTGTCCATTGCCAGCGCCAGTGCAGTCGCGTAGCCGCCTATTCATTGAGTGATTGATTATGCAATACATTGCCATTAATTAGGT